ACCCTCAACTATTTATTTGTTGAATGATGTACCCCTCAATATCCAAACCTCTCTCACTGTTAACATCTTTCAAAATGAGTTCAATTCTCTATTCAACAGACCGGCAAAACACTTCGATTTCTGCCGTGGCCAAAGACACTCCGCTGTTCATCACACAAGGCTCCGTCTTAATTTCAGCCAGTTTAACAGTTAAACTACCATATATTTCAACATTATTGTATTGACTATCCTACATGTAAATGTGGCTATCATTATAGTGAAACAACTAAACACTACTTTTTACTTTGTAATAATAAATGTAAACTTTATTCCAGTCAAAGAAGTACTCTCTCCAACTACTTCGAGGGTTCACATCACTTTCACACTTACAAAACTGTAATAATATGTAGTTCAAAACTTCACTGTATGGGTAGATATTCTTGTAAGATGTTGTAATTGATAGATCATCAACTTGTCTTGATTGTATTTATCTCGGTTTTATCCTTCTTGTAATAATGCATGTATCTTGTCAATGTGTTTTTATACTCGTTGTATGTTTTTGAGTAGAAGGTGTTATATAAGCAACCTTTTTTGCCTAATACTCAATAAATAATATGTGAATGAAGATTTCAAAATTGTAGTGTGTTTTTTGGCCAAAATCGTTCTTAAATAACTGTTCGAGAACCAGTGAGTGCTCAATCATCATCCGTTCCATTTTGGTGTTTACATGGCAAATTTACCGCCTAAAACCACTGTAAACAACATACTACGAGAAAAGAAGCATGCAGACGGCGCCGTTTTTGAATAAATTAGTGCGCAAAGGCTCATGGGATGACGTCACGGTGATTACGCAAGTTGCTTCCGGGTTCGCGCGCGCGGTACGCGGGAATGTGACGCGTCCATGTATGGATACCAGAAAACCGAGTTATTTCGGCTTCCGCATACAGGGAACACATTGGGGAAACCGAGATATCTCGGCGGCCGCAGGAATAGGGCTTAAGAGGCCAAAAAAAGGACCATGAAAAAAACACATATAACCGACATATGTTGTCGATATTTGGGTTATCAGGAATGATGTTATCATGACCTCTTGACCTCTCCTCTCAACGTTGACCAAAATACGACTGTGCACGACTATTTAACGATCGGGGTCGTAGAAAGATCGTTACATGGTCGTAATATGGTCAATGGGACTTGGTACATTCAGAATGGCAGTCGTGTTTCAGTCGTTGTGAGAGTCGTGATGAGGTCGTGCAAAATAAACGACTCGATCCAGACTTTATTACGCCCCAAGTCAGACCGATCAACGACCTGCCCGTGCACTGTGAAACCAAAGCTTGTACTCGATAAACTATAGTATAAATATATATATACTGACAGCGTGCTTCTTCACTGTGCTTCGTGATTTGAATCAAAGCAGTCTATAAAACATTATTTCAACCGGACTCCCCCAGAAACAGTAGTTACATATGTGATGTGTTATGGGTTGGGGGGTAGCATATGATTTATGGGACACTTTGTTCATGTTAAATTATATTTAAAACTGCATATTCAAATTTTTGGTCCCATTTAGACTGGTAAATCTACTAATTTTATAACTCTTACTAGTCTTAGTTTTATTTATAAAAGATATTTGCAGGATGGGGCATGTAAATTCAACAATCATCAAGGGTTGTTGCAATCAAGCTGGTGATATGAAGTGATCAACAAGGATGTAGTTCTTCTCAAGTAACAATACTAACATTACAGCAACTAAAATTTTTGTGGTGGTTTTGCTGTGTAGTAGGAGGGGAAAGATTTTCTCTGTGGTGTTTTAATTTTGTGGCTGAAACATTTCTGTGAAGTAGTAGAATTACATTACTACTACTAGTAACATATAATGTACATCTAACTGTTACATATTTGCAACTTGTTATCATTTTGCAGTGAGAGGTGATGGGAAAACTGAACATAAACCAATGCACACATCATACCTCAGACAGACAGACATATATTACCATAATTCCACCAGGGTACATAATTCCGCCACCCTGAAAAGATACGTCCAAACAGATCTCCAACCCAACGTCCCCCAGTGTAATGCACTCCTGTATAGCTAAACTGTGCATTGTATTAGGTAATGTTGGGTTTGAGATCTGTTTGGACGTATATTTTCAGGGTGGCGGAATTATGCACCCTGGTGGAATTATGGTAATAGATGTTATAAGCTACTAGCCCTACCATGCCACCTTATGTTGTACTACATGTGTTCTCCAGGCTGAGGCTGGAGGAGTGATGGGAGAAGACGAGGCACCAGGAATAAGACGAGGGTGGCTCTACGGGTGATAACCTTACAGTTACACCTCAAGGTATCTATTCTAGTGCAAAGTTTATACAGAACAAAAACTTGGTGTCTCTTTAATTATTGCTATTATCTGTAGATAACAGATAATATACAATGTATTGCACAACAGGAATAGCTCAACTCTAGCACATTGTACACATCATTAAAGCTGGGTACTTCTCTCTCCTGTCATGTATTCTTCAGGCTATCATTCTGGCACTGAAAACTTCAGGTGCCCCACAAAAAATAAGAAAATTTACAACCATGTTCATTTTTAAAGGTACAAGCCATTGAACTGCACATACATGTTGCAATCTATCAGATTCTATCCTGTAACTGAGCATGTACCATTCTATCAGGTACAGGTACAAATGTACATCCTTAAAATTAGTACATGGTATACTGTATCGAGCAATATACTGTACATGTATAACAGTTCTATCAAATTTTAAGTAAGAATTCTAATTCATTTCTAAAGCTTTAAAATTATCAGGAAGGTTACATTAATTATGATAATCACTATGTCATTGTCCAGTTGATAATTTATCATATATAAGCTTCAATTATGTTACATAGAATTTGTTTAAAAATTACTTGTAAGATAACAATAACATCCTGGATCATAAATCTACATTCATAGATTACAACAGAGTGCATTTGTACTGTCGGGAATTTGAAGCCAGAACAAGTTTTATTGATTAATTTGTTTTGTTGCGTGGAGTTGGATCAGGAACCCCTCCTACCCGTGTGGGGCATGACTTGAGTAAATGCCGCTTCAGGGTGGCCTTGAGCTGCTCTGTTTTCTCCTTGATCCCACACGTCGCCCTTGAGATAATGTTAAACTGGGCATGCATCGTCTCAATACCTTGCTCTCCAAAGTATCCCAAGCCAAACCTCCATTTCTCCATCCATGGTATTGCATGGCGTTCCAGGAGGTGCATCTTGATTGGTACACTCACTTGTGGGAAAGATGCGCGGAAGAAGGCCATAAAGGCCTTAATGCTGACGTCTGGGAAGGAAGTATTTGTTGTTAATTCAGGTTGACTGTATAAACTTAGAGACATTGCAAAGTATTGATATTTTCTGATCAAGTTTGAATCAACATTATGTGGATTTTATTGCATTCTCTTTAAAAAATACATGTTAACTCGGCAAAATTTGTTTCTTTATGCTAATGATCCTGGTGCTAATGTTTCAAGCCAATCATCTCTCACCTAATGAAGAAATGTCTTCAGCAGACACGGGCCTGGCGTGGGAGTACTTGTTGTGGCATTCAGAGAACAATGAGAATGTCTTCTCATATTTGACTTGCAGGTTCCTGGCTCTGGTGTACACAGCTAGGGGCATGTCCTGCTCGTCTACCAGCTCCATGGCCTTTTCAGTGGTGATAGACGTCAGGCGTCTGATGGGAGCTTCCTGCAAGGATCAGTCAAGTAAGTCCTCTTTTAGTCCTCATTTCAAAGTATGAGATGTTACTTTGAAATAGCAACCTTTAGATGAAATAGATGAAATAGCAACCTTTTGTGTTTTCTTCCTAATTTATATATATGCATATATATTGCATCAAAGACAATTGGAAATGTTGTTACCTTGAGCATGATGTTTACATGATTGCCTATGAAGGCCTGAGTGTGATACGCCTGGCGCTTCACCCTGTACTCCTGTAGTACAGGGTCCAGCAAGCTGCCGAGCGGGCCGTTGGACAGCTTCAGTCCTCCTCGCTCCCTTACTTCTGCAGCTTTTGATATCTGCAGTGAAGAATATTGTGTAACTGTAATTGATCTTGTATAATCTTTCCCACCATTGACATACAGAAATAGATACAGAAATATAACAGGTATGGATCACCCACATGATGACTTGGCAAGTTTGTAGTTTCTATCTCCTACAATTACCACATTTGTTGATTCATTCATTGAATCTTACCAGATCTTCCTTGCGCTTCTCCATCTTCTGAAAGCGCAGTTGGAGGGACAGGACATTGAGGCAGTGTTCTTGACCTTGGAACATCGCCCACGCCAGCAGATCTTCAATCTCCTCCATCTCTTCTTCTAACTCTTCTACCTCCACATCGAACTGCCGTGCCTCCTCCACCGACTCCACATACCCAGCCAGCGTGTAGAGGTCAGGGTGCAGCAGGACCTCCGCTCTGTCAACGTCAGGGTCGGCAAGGGTGACTTTGGAAATGTGAGTGCCCATAATCACATCCAGATCTCGCAGATCATTCTCCAACATTCGGAAGAGCTTATGGAAAATACCAAGGGATATATGGAGTGCTGGTATGCACACCTAAAATATAAAAAAAAAATTAACATCTTGTAAGTGTAGTGTACAAGTATCAAGTACTACATGTATGTAGCAAAACCACTGTAACAGTATTTGTACTGCTTGTTAGTTGTTACGTTTGCAGCTCTACCACATAACATTTAGGGAGATATTACACTGTGCCTTAATAATTTATCTTAGGATGACACACTCTGAAGGGGGGAAATACCTGGTCAGTCTCTATCGCCAACATCTGCGGAGCGATGACATTCATGTAGCTCTTTGCCCTCCGAATGTCACCGCATCCATCCTCTTGAAAGGATCTGTGGTTCGCAGCTAGCGACGCGAGTGTGCGCCTTGCAGGGACTTGCTCAGGTTCGGCTTTCTTCATGTCTTGCTTGTGTACTTGACAGTACAGACAAGGATATGAGCCTGTATGACATAAGGGTGTGAAGAATAGTTGTAGTTGTTGTATTAAGTACTACTGGTTATTGCATACATTGTGATAACCCGTAGACTAGTCTTTGCTTAATCAAGACTTTAAGTCCTGTACTCCTGTATCCTCTCTTGATATTTGTTACTAATGATTTGTACACTTACCACAGGGTCCAGACAGTCCAAACCACAGTGACAGGATCATGTAGTCACCGGACACGAAAATCCGCAGGTGCTTCTCACTGCCATCCGGGGAGCTGAAAATGAAGGTAGGCATTTTAAAATACATTGTATTGTGGTGGATGGAAATGAGTTCATTGGAAAGACATTTTGAACTTTTAAAGTCTTCATCTGAAAACTTACGTCCATATTGTCCCAGCCATCTCTCCCACCTCAGTACATAGGTCCTTTGTGGCGCTCATCAGGTTTTCCCTACTATCCTTGGCTTGGAAAGCACAGAACACAGCAGTGCTGGCGTTCGGGTGTGGCTGGTTCATAACCTGGAAACCCATCTTGAATAGGTCCCCCCCATGGTCACCCAGCACCTTTATCCACACCTCATCCTCTGGGATTTGCTGGTTGTACCAGTCAAGATGTCTGTAAACAGAAAAATATGTTTGAAAAAATATGAAGTATTGCAAATTTCACTTGCTTGCTGCTGTCTTACATGGCAGTAATTCATGGATCAGTTAATTAAATAAGGCCATGTTGTTTTATTTATCAAACTAGAATCTATGTCTCCGACGGAGACGGTCAGCCAGTCGTACATTGAGACGACGATGGACACAGGAGCTACCAAGGGATACCCGCCCACTCGCTCCTAATTGCAGAGACGTAAGTAAATTCAGGTATGTATGCTCACCCTGCTTGGGCCGTCCGATCAATGTTATCCAAGATGGACACCTCCAGGTTGGCCACTTTTGCACAGGGCCGTAGCTCGACCACCTTCCCCTGGCCCTCTCCCTTCACCACCAGGGGGATCAGGTCTGCCACCACCTCCTGTTTCTCTAACAGAGCTGCTGCCACCTTCCTGGAACTTCTCTCACTTTCACTCACAATGTGATACTGCTTCATCCATCTGAAAAAATGTACTATTATTACTACTGGTACTAATAGGTGCATTTTAATCATACACAGTTGTATCATATGTTTTATAACTGGGTTTTTTAGCTTATGTATGATTGCAACTTACTGTTTTTGCAGTGAAACATTTTTAGATGCATTTAATGGTATTGAAGACAAACCTTTTGAGGTTTCTTGTCTGACTCCAGGTGAGACCTAGGTCGACGGCGGCGGCCAGCAGATGCCCTGTTGGGAGGCGGATGGTGTCCAAGCTAAGCTCCTGCAGTGTTCGCGCCAGGTCCTGTCTCGTGATGGCCCGGAGTTCCATTACAAGCTGGGCTTGCTCCTCCCCACCACTAGCTGCTGCACGTGCCTGCTGTAGTTCACTTGTCCTTCTTCTTACAGTAGAGGAGCTGGCCTCCGAGCTTGGTTTGCGTGCACTTGTGATTTTCACTAGTGTTATGGGCTGTAATTTTTGGACAGTAAAAAAAGTCTTAATAATAATGTACCTATTCCACGTAAAATTGTTTCCTAGGATCATGAAAAATCTCTAAGGTGATTAAGTGATATAATCTGTGATATAATCTGTTTTCAATGTAATTAATTTCATTGATTTGTATCAGCTGGTTTATTGTATACAATAGAGGTAAAGACATGTATTAGAGGATGCATTGAATGTATGTATGTATTTTTGTTGTTGTTTCTGATTTGATAGACTTGATAAATATTTGTAACTAAGTGTAGACAAGATGAACTTCAATTGCAGATCATTGATTTTGATGATAAATGTCAAATACTGCCAACTATTTATTATTGACAACTGGTCACAAATGATTGACAATGTATTGATAACACTCACTTGCCCTCCAGTCTTGCACTTTATGAGACCATGGGAGGATGAAGTCAGCTTCCTCTTGATAAGAGGAGCCAACAACTTATCCTCCCATGGCCTCAGTGGTCCAGGTTGTTTCACTTGTTCAATCACTTGTTGAATGTGCATTGGTTCTGGTATTGGTGCAGGTGAGGCAGCACAACCCGACTCCGGCATCACAGGAACACCACAGGGTGGGGGGGACTGTAGACTTGCACAAGCGGACCCCGGCATCACAGGAACACCGCAGGGTGGGGGGGACTGTACACTTGCACAAGCGGACCCCGGCATCACAGGAACACCACAGGGTGGGGGGGACTGTACACTTGCACAAGCGGACCCCGGCATCACAGGAACACCGCAGGGTGGGGGGGACTGTACACTTGCAAAGACTGGCACGGGCAGTACACCGTAGGCTGTTGGGGCCGGGGGCGCTTCCAAGCCTACTTCTTGCATCTCTGAATTAAAATGCACCTGATATTCCCCTACTTCCATGTCTGTCATGGCACTCCTGCATGTAGATTTTGGTCTCCCACCATAGTTCATCTTCTTAGGGCGACCGCCCCTTTTAAGTCTGTTAGAGTGGCTACACACAGTGCATGTTTCAGAATGAAAAGGCCATACTTCTTGAGCAGTTCCTATGTAGTTCACGTTCTTGTTCGATAGTTTCTTTCTACAACTTAAACAGAAGTTGGGGGGGTGTTGCTCACTATTGTCTGCTGAAACATCAATTGCAAAGGTGTGTTTGATAGCTTCCACATATTTGTAGCACGGTAATGAAGACAGTCCCGCTATTTGCTGGGCTCTTGAAAGGGAATTCCGACCACAAATCCTGCACAAGTTTCTCAGGTTTTTCAAATGTTGACTTGCAGTTACCTGAGCCATTCTGAAAGGTGGGGTGGGGAGGGGGGGGGTGGCTACTTAGTCACCATCTCTGGAGCGGGAGCTACACCTGTTAAAAAATGATATGGGGGTATAAAATAATGTATTGGAACCATGAAACACGAGGGAAATTATTGCTAAGCTCTGTAATTTACATGTAGTACGTACGTGCGTATCACTTCCGGGTTCGGCACCGGGGCCGGCAATGTTTACACCTCGTAAATACGAAGTACACCTCGTACTTGCGTAAATCACATGTCAAAAAAAACCTTGCCAACCAGAAACTCTAATGTATGATTCAAACTGATACTTCAGCTTCACAAAAAACGGAAAATTACCTGGGTGAAAACTGTATAAGGGGCGCTATGGTTTAAACTCCCGCTCGCTCCATTTTTCCCGCCTAACGAGCCTGAGCAGAACTGCAAGTGACCTGAGTCGTGCCAAGACGGCGACTTCAGGCTCTAGTTTTGTTATATCCCCCAATATGTACCATTTGCTGACTAATATTTAATAAAACACATCATGAAGACCCTGTGAGAGTGGTTTGTTTATTCGTGGCATGCTTTATTGTGTTGTTATTACGAGATATTTGTCGTAATTTACGTAGTGGTTACGTCCGCCGCCATTATGCCCATTCTCGCTGGTTCTCGCGTGGTCTCGCGATGTTTCCCCCGTAGCGAGATTGCATCATCTTTCGAACGCGAAGAACTAAGTGATCGGAAGCAGGGATTTTGAAACAGGCGTG